ATATATAAAATTATATTATTGTTTTTCAGCTCCGTGTAGACTGTAGTTAGTATAGGTGACATAAGGAGAACTATAAATAACTAAATCATTGCCATTTTTTTAACTTTAGGTATATTGAAAAAGAAATGTAATAAACTTGGTTGCTAAGTCAAATCAAGATGAATTAATGAAATTTTAGTCCATGTGAATATAATAAAGGAATAAATGAGGACAACAAATTTATCCGGCTGCCCAATGGTAAGAAAGGTTTGGCCAAGACAAGGTGACAAGGGCATGAGGAGCAAGTTGTTGGTCCGGAAATTGATCCGAACAGGTCTCTGGGTCACCGGGTCACCGGTTCAACCATCGAGTCACCGGGTCAATTCTGAATCGGATAATTAATTTTAAAATTTTTAAATTATATATATAGTAATATACATAAAAGTAACAACAATTAATATTTTGCATATAAAATTTGTACATTAAAGTGTAAAAAGAATTGTATCTCACAATAAACATTTACTATATCAATAAATTTACATAGTTTATATTTTTATATAAAAAGTATTAAAAAAATAAAAAAATACATATGGACCGAGTCAATCGGTCGGGTTTTGACCGAGTTTGACCGGGTCCATTGTTACCCGATCCAAATAGTCCACTCGGACCGGTTTCAGTTCTGGATCGGTCGGGTCCCGAAAACAATGGGCAAATGGTAATATTAATTAATTGTAATGTTTATGTGTAATAATGTATTCCAACCAAATGTGTGTGTCTTTTGGCCACTAGACAATCTTCAAACGTGCCACATTGAAAATGCTCTCCCTTCTTATTTGATTATTATTATTATTATTATTATTTGTTGGCTATCACAATTAACAACTTTAGGGAAACTTTTAGTAGGTAGAGGGTGATTTATGGTACTTCAAAACTTGTGGATTAGATCCAAATAATGTGACATTATTGATCAATAATCCATTGGTTTACCGAGGTTGTGAGACTCCGCTCGGCTATCGAACCAATCAAACTACTATTCAATAGTAGGGTCAATGGTTACAACGATTGGATCTCTATGCTTTATTAATATTGTTAACTGAAGTAATGATTTTTAGATATAAAGATATATTCATTGAAATTTTTGATAATTTGAAACCATCCATTGCTTGAACTATTTTGATAGAATAATTTGATACATATCCCAAATATATGAATTATTTATAATTAAAAATTATACTTAAAAATAATAAAATTAATTCTTACAACACAAAATATAAGCAAGAGCGGTCCGTAAGGGCATCTCCAATGGTAATAGCTATTACTAGCTATATAGTCAGCTGACGTGGATGTGAGAGATAAGAAAAAATGAATATTTTACACTATTGGACCCACATACTCCTCTCACATGATCTTGGGCTACGTGAAATAGATAAGCTATTTGTTAGTAGCTAGTGACTGCTCTCTCTCTTACTTTTCCCTTGTCCACGTCATAATAGCTAGCCAAATAGTTAACCATTGGAGACACCCTAACTCATGTGAACCGCTCGTGGGCCACCCCGTGATTCAGCCAGCCACTAAGATTATTCCACTTGTCTGGATATCCACCCACCTCTCCAGGCGACATCTGTCGCTTTCTCAAGGCACCACGTCACCCAGCAACAATATATACAAAAAAAAAAAAAAATATTTATTTATTTTTGCGACTCAAGCTTCTCAAAAGGAAAAATTGGGGCAAATTCTGATTCTTTGCATCTGCACGAGGACGAGAGAGCTCTGAATCTCTCCTTCTTCCTCGGCCAGCGAGTGTAATTGTGCGTGAAAATTAGCAGAAATTCAAGGCCCGCTGGTGTAGAGAGAGAAAGTAGCGGCGGGAGAAAGAAACACGTAAACGAATACTGTCCAAGTGTGCAACGAAGGACGCAGAGTCGAACACGAAGCAGCGACTCGACAACGCCATTTTTGGGTAACATCGGTTGTTCAATTTTCCTCGTGCGGTCACTTGTCAGTACTTAATTATGAGTAGGGCTCGTTCTATGCGTGGGTGAATGTTCAGTTTTGCTCCTGGGATCTATAGTTAGCGAATTCTTTCTGTGTTGGGAGGAATTCATCTGAATTTGGTCCAGCTTTTCTGCTTGTCTTCGCGGGATGTCGAGTTTTTCCGATGCTGATTTCAGTGTGGAAGGGATTGACGATGTCCAGGATTACCCATGGGTCTGAATTTGAAGTTGCTTGATTATTTGTGTGTGTTGTGTTTGATTTTGTGTGTGAGAGAGTTGATGCGAGTTTAATATGTGGTGGTGCATGGTGCAGGAGAGTGTGGAAGGATCAATGTCCTGGGAGAAGTATACCCATCTCTCTAGTCTGGTGCATACAGGGAACAAGGCGTTCCGTGAAAACCGGTTAGATCAGGTTGATTTCTATGCTGTTCTTGTTGGGGAGATATGTTTTCCTCATACACATCATATGTATCTACATGTGTATTCGTTTAACAAGTTGCAAAATAAATGTTCCTTTTGTTTTTATTTTATTGTTATGTTTTGCTTTTCCTCAGGCGATTGAGTCTTACTCAAGAGCTAACAACATTAAAGAGCTTGATCCCATTATCCTGAGCAATCGGGCTGCTGCGTACATTCGGTAGGTAATCTAATCCAAAATCATGAGGTGTTCTGTAGAATACTATGGAGTCGTGTGTGTTTCACCTTCGCTCTAGATGATTGGTTATTTTGAGTCATATTTCTTGTATTTCCTCCAGTGTCAGTCATTTCCTTAAACACAGACCACCAACTGCTTCGGAATACAGGCCACTGAGTGGCTCGGATCCAACAACCCATGCCGCAGTATGTTACACATACCTTGACCTTCTCCCCATACCCGCTTTCCACGGGTGTGTTTCTTGCTTTCCATATATGCTGTGGAAATCTAATGCTTGATTCTTGTTTAAGCTTGCTGTGAAGGATGTGGAAAAGGTGATGAGTTTGCAGAGTGGCTGTGTAACCCCCTACATTCTGAAAGCAAATGCACTCATCCTGGTGCGAATGCCTTTTGGTTTAATGTGTTTTGGTTGCCCAGAAGTTGTGGATAATTCATTTTTGCAGAATGGAAAACGACTAAAAACATTGAAGTGGGATGTCTTCATAGTCATGCTTACATCATCATTGGCCTTTCATTATTTGTTAATTATCTGCATCAAGGCCTATGTGCTTTTAATTAAATTGTATAACAAAGTTGATTTCTGTTCCACTTAATTTTCTTATGTCTCCCTGATCTGGCTTTTGGCATCATTGTGTTTGGACCTTGTGCTTTGGCATTCATGCTTTAATTTTGGTTCTGGCTTAAACAACACTTCAAAAAAATGCTGTTATTTGACAGCTAGAGAAGTACGAGATAGCTCGAGATGTTATTCGTTCGGGTCTTCAGATTGATCCTCAAAGGTAATGCAGAATAACAATTTGTTTCATCCCAAAATTTTTATCTTAAGTGAGTGATTATTGAAAATGTTTTTGTTGCAGTACCCCTCTTTTGAATTTAGAGAAGTCAATGTCCAATATATTTATGAGGAGAAGCCATGTAAAACCCCAGCGTACCGATGATTATGATTGCACTCTATGTTTGAAGTTACTGTATGAGCCCGTCACAACTCCTTGTGGGCATTCTTTTTGCCGCTCCTGTCTGTTTCAGTGCATGGATAGAGGTATAATTCTTGTTTATTTGTTTCTTTCTTCATTTACCTTTGATTTTAGAAGACATAATTCCCATATCTCTCACATCTTATCTCACATGAATATTTCAGGTAATCGATGCCCTTTGTGTCGGACGGTTATGCTTATTAGTCCCAGAACATGTGCGATCAGGTAGGTTTCGTATTATTAGTTGTTTGTCTCCCGTTTTCCATTATATGTCGAGAAGCTTTTCACGCTAAATTATATTAACCTCTAATCTAATCTAATCTAATCTAATCTATCATCAATTTACTATGACTAATTCACGAACTGCTGACTGCTGAGCTACTTTACCAGCTACCAGCTATAAGTTCATTGGAATCAGTTAAACCAAGCAGATGGCCAGACAAATAACCTTTCTTCAAATTATATGTTGTTGGCATCTAGATAACTCTAGTTATGTCCATTGCATATGGAGCTGGAAGAGTCATTGTTGACAATTCTCCTGGCATAGTGCTAATAATGGACTATATCAAAATGGCTCCATTAAATTCTAGTGCTTCTTCTATTAGTGAAGTTTCTAGAAAAAAATATATCAAACGACGCAACGCACCTTGGGTCGCTATGGAAACAGCCTCCTTGTATAATTACGGTAAGGTCTGCGTACAACTGACCCAGACCCCAACTTGTTGGGAATATACTGGGTATGTTGATGTTGATGTTGATGTTGATGATCTAGATAACTCTAGTTGGAATGCCTCGTACAAAATGTTAATGCGACTTCCATGCTACCAATGAAGCAAATAGATTCACTAAAAAAAGGATGGTTATTCATGGCAAATGTAATTTAGTGTTTGGTTGTTTCCCAGTGTCACTTTGAACAACATCATACAGAAGAACTTTCCAGAGGAATACGCAGAAAGGAAGTTGGAGAATGACAATTTAACAAATCCTGGTGTTGACATGTTGCCTCTTTTTGTCATGGATGTCATCATCCCATGCCAAAAGTTTCAGCTTAACATTTTTGAGCCCCGTTACAGACTTATGGTGAGTTGATTGAAGCTCATGCTGTGTTATATAACATGTCCTGGTTGGCATCTATTTTTGTATGACATTTATAAATGAATCGTTTCTTATTGAGTATTGGATTAATCTTAAGTTCAACCCAGCACTCAAACTGACAAGTGTACATTTTTTTCTTTGCCTGCATACATTAAGAATCCTTTCCCCATTTGAGTGGGTGTTGCAAACTTTATAGATAAAATGTTTCTCCACATTTCATGTAGTATTTTGTCTTTTTTCACTATAATCTCTACAGAGCCCCAAATCACAGAAATGTCACTTTTACACTGATATGAAGCTAACTAAACTAATTGATTGGACATGGTCAAAATATAGATTAATGTTCTTTTTATGACAATAACTCTTCACACAGTCATCTTGTGGAATTATAGAACATGTACCCATTTGGTCGCACTCTGTTGATTTTCATTGATTTGAATCCCGTTTAAAATGTCAGGTGAGGAGGATAATGGAAGGGAACCGCCGCATGGGAATGGTATATTGATGCACTAGAGTTGGTTCTTTGTTTCTTTATTTGTGATAATGTGTTGGTCTTATTTGTTTTTCTGTTCATGTGTAGGCCATTCTTGACTCATGTACAGGTTCAATAGCTGATTATGCATGTGAGGTGGAGATTACAGAGTAATTCTTTTGATTGTATTATATTTTTCGAGTTCTATGAAACCCATACATGATTTCATGGATTGCGTTTATTGGCACTTCAGGAACATAAGATGATGATTACATTTTATTCTTAATGCAGTTGCGAGCCACTTCCAGATGGACGTTTCTTTTTGGAGGTAATATATTTATTCATTTATTTTTTTAATCCTGATTTTCATGGATTTTTCTATTTGCAAAGGTAGCAAAATTGGAAATAGAAAGATTTTATATACTGACTCCATAAATCCAAGGCCTTGTTTAGTTGTTTTGTCATATAGTTGTAGTTTGCAATGCGTCTTTGCGTCTTGATCAAACTTGTCCGGTGGGGGTGCGAATACACATCAAAATTATCTTCTTTATACTGCCGTATTTTTGCCTTCTGATTTCACAGTTTGTACCTTTCCCTTTCATATAGTCTAATAAGCAACTAATCGTCGCAGGTTGAAAGCCGCCGGAGATGTCGTATCCTTCGGAATTGGGATCAAGACGGGTAATTTCCTTTGGTGTCTATTTACTTTCGCAATTCTCATTACTTATTGCAAAATCTTCTGTACTTATTTGTTTGCCATTTTTTTAATTGTTTGTGAAGGTATCGCATTGCAGAGATTGAATGGGTTGAAGATACATATCCACCCGAGGGACCCGAGAGAAATGACGTAAGCTGCTAAGTGTATATTTGATTCTACATGCTTGTGTTTTAGGTTTTCTAGAGTTTGTTTGAGTTCCAAAACTAGTTCATATTTGGATTCCGAAAGTTGCATCTGTAAGAAGTTATGTTTGTCTCACATCACTTAGTTATTGGGCTTTATTATGTATAAGTGTGGGTTTGTCGTCCTCTCCTTATGAGCTAGCTTTTGGTGACGAGTTCTACCAAAGCCCATTTATTAGCACACCCCATCTTTGTTTGTTTGAAGGCACGGGCGAGGGTGGTGGTTTAGAACTTATGTTCGTCCCACATTGATTAGTTATCGAATTGTTATTATGTACAAGAGTGGGTTGAGCACTATTTCCCTTTAAGCAGCTTTTGGGGTTTCCGAATGAGTTCTACACGGACCAGCATCTATGGAAGACACTATACCAAATTGGTTATCCGGTCCTTGGGTATTTATTTGCCTTTTTTTTTTTTTTTTTTTTTT